TGCTTTGAAAAACTCTGCGCCATCATCCTGAACTATAGGGTGAAGCCCTTTACAGAACATTATCAAGTGTTCGGCGGTTTCTTCTTCCTCTCCACATGCACTGCATACTGTGTCTACCCCTTCGTATTTGGCCCGATATGTCTTGGTTCGCAGTACTCCCGTTCTGGCCTCAAACAGTAGAGAACTACCCCGAGTATTATCATAGATCCTTTCCTTGGCAATTTCCTGCTTAAAAGTTTGATAGATATCTAGTGCGGACTTCTTAATCATGCCCATTCTCCACATGTCAGTCTCCGTTTCCTTCACTTTCTTTTTAACCGATAATTCTTTTTGGTTTGGCCACCTGCTGTTTTCTAAGTATTTACCAGTCAACTTCCTGGTTCGCTTCCTCGATTTTGTATCGACATTCTTCATGTACAAGTAGCTGAAAACCTTCCTAGCCCAACGCTCTTCCCCCATTTCTCTAAATCGCTTCTCAAATTTTATCTTGCTGCTAGCTTCCCTGCCCTCAAATGATGTCCATCCCATATCACCTTGTACTCCCTGATTTGGTGTATTCCCGTGAGCTCCTAAAGCAAGCCTACCTATTCCACGTTGCTTAATTTCTAATCTTGCTTGAACTTCTGATCTCATGCACAAGACCGCATTGCCGAACGTCAGCCCAGGAACCATGACCCATTTCCATATTCATCTCACAACATCATACCTATTGTAATTCCACAGTGCCCAAATTTTCATGACTGCTGCATTCCTGCTACCTTTAGTCGTCACGTATATTTCGTGTTCCCTCAGATACTCGGTCCCATTGCTTATCCATACGCCCAGATATTTGTATTTATCTGTTATCTCTAGCGTGACCCACTGTATTCTAAGCTCACTACCTTCGTTGTCATTGAAAATCATGACTGCTGATTTTTTCTTACTGAATCTAAAATCTAACCTATCTCCCTCATTACCGCAGATGTCCATCAATCTCTGCAAATCTTCCTTGTTGTTGGCCATTAGCACTATATCATCTGCGTACATTAATGCTGGTAGTGCCTGATCAATAAGTTTTCCTTGTTTGACTAAAGAGAGGTTGAAGCCCAGTCCACTTCCCTCTAATTTTGCCTCTAATCCTTGTAGGTACATCATGAATAATAAGGGTGACAGGGGGCACCCCTGCCTAAGCCCCCGTTTTACCTCTGCAGGCTTGGATACCTGTTTTTCCCACTTTATAACTACCTTGTTACCTTTATAGATACCCTTTAAAAGATTAGTGACTACATGTTCCACGCCTAGTGTGTCCAGTATTCCCCACAATTCCTCTTGAACCACGCTATCGTACGCTCCCTTGATATCCAAAAATGCTAGCCACAGGGGCCTGTGTTCCTTTTCTGCTATTTCGATGCACTGCGTCAGTGAGAACAGATTGTCTTCCAACCTCCTGTGTTTCCGAAACCCATTCTGCTGTTCCCCCCAGCACACCCTCATCCTCTATCCATGCCTGCAGCCTGTCCTTTATAATCTGCATCGCCAGCCTGTAGACCACTGATATCACTGTTATAGGACGGTAGTTGTTTATGTCAGCTTTGTCCCCCTTTCCTTTATAGATCATGCTCATCCTGCTGAGTTTCCATCCATCGGGAACTTCTCCATCGATGATTATTTTGCTCACTGCCTCTCTCAAAGCCTGCTTAGACTTCGGACCCAATGTCTTTATCCTCCTAATTGGACTGCCATCTGGGCCTGTTGATGTACTACCAGGAACCCTTTTCTCAGCCCTTTCCCACTCTTGTTGTGAAAATGGAGCCATTGCACCACTTGATTCGTCCTTGTCTATTGTGGTGCATAAAGTACTTCTGACCAATTAGACGGATGGATGGATGGATGGATGCTATGAGCGTCCCCTTTATAACGGGGTGGTGACAAGTATGCCACCAGGCTCGACAAAAAAAAAAAAAAAAACCTTTTTTTTCTTTTTATGTTGGCCTAATGCCTCTACTTCGATAAATTCTATCTTAATGGAAAAAAAGGTAAATTTTCAGCTTAAGTTCTCTGCCATTTACGGCACACTGTCCATATTTTATTTTTCCAATATTTATTTTTGTCCTTTCTCTCTAATTTTCTGCCACCAATACTCTAACCGTCTCTTACTTATTTCAATCGCGGGTGTGTTCAGCTTTCCATTGTTGTCCCTAAAACCCAAGGCTTCCTGTAGGCTCGTGCCCAAACGTACACCTGGGTGGATATCTCCACATTCAATCAGAACATGCTCCGCCGTTTCCTTATCTTTCCCGCAGCATGTGCATTGTTCTTCTTCTTTACTGAATCTTGCTTTATAACTACGCGTTCTAAGGCAACCCGATCTCGCTTCAAACAGTAAAGCGCTTCCCCTTGAATTATCGTAAAATGCCTCCCTCCTTATTTCATTTTTGCCCTTTCGGTAGTTACTCAAAGCCGGTTTTTTCTCCATAGCTGCTATCCAGTAAATCCTCTCCGCCTCCCTGACTTTTCCCTTAACGCTCTTTGTTGACATATGGCTTACAATACCAGCCGTATACTTACTAGTGAGTCTTCTAGTTCTTTTTCTCCACTGTGTGTCCACGCTCTTCCTATACAAATAACGGAACACCTTCTCTGCCCATCTACTCTCCTTCATATTTCTTAGCCTTTCTTCGAACCTTATTTTGCTCTGCGCTTCCCTCGCCTCAAAACCTGCCCACCCCATATCGCCCTTTACAGCCTCGTTTGTCGTCTTCCCGTGAGCACCCAACGCGAGGCGTCCCACAGTCCTTTGATTTACATCCATTCCCGCTTGCACCTCTGCCCTCATGCACACCACTGAGTTCCCAAAAGTAAGCCCTGGAACCATTACACCCTTCCACAGACCTCGAAGCACCTCATACCTATTGTATCCCCACAACGCTCTGTGCTTCATTATTGCCGCATTCCTCTTTCCTTTTGCTGCCGAGGCTTTTTCCTGTACCTCCATGTATCTATCACTCTCATTTACCCATACTCCAAGGTACTTGTATTCACTTACCCTCGGTATTTCTTGGCCTTGTATGGACACCGTCTGATCACAGGGATCATTGAATACCATCAATCCACACTTCGTTACACTGAATCCTAGTCCAAGAGCTTCACCTTCCCTTCCGCATATATTCGCCAGCTGCTGTATATCATCTCGACTGTCCGCAAATAAGACGATATCGTCCGCATAAAATAAACCTGGAAGCTTCTGCTCAATCATCATGCCGCCCTGTTTGTGTGACAGATTAAAACCAATGTTGCTACCTTCTAGCGCTTTTTCCATACTCACCATGTACAGCGTGAATAACAGCGGGGACAAAGGACATCCCTGTCTCAGACCCCTGCTAACCTCAACGTTCTCTTTGCTACGCATTCCTTCCCACTCTATGCAAACTGTATTTTCTCGGTATATCTCCCTCAAAAGCTGTATACAGTCGTCGCCCATGCCCATTCCTTTCAATATATCCCACAAAATTTCCTGATTAACGTTGTCGTATGCCCCAGTGATGTCTAGAAAAGCCACGTACAAGGGCCTATTCTCTATTTTGGATATTTCTATACACTGAGTGAGAACAAACAGGTTATCGTCTAACCGCCTGTCGACTCGAAATCCGTTCTGAAGTTCTCCCAAAATATCGTTATGTTCGGCCCATGTTTCTATTTTCATTTTTACTGCTTGCATCGCCATCCTGTATAGTACCGATTAGTCCTGAAGCTACGAGCGTGAGCGAAGACAAAGGAGCTGTCATCGTGGCGCAGAGCTCTATAGCTTAGCGAAATTCACCGCGAAGACCTGGACGAATCGGCGTCGTACTACCGAGTTCGAGAGGCTCACAGCTCCAACGTGGGAGCACGCCTTACCGAAGTCATTTAAGAACACGCGGTGCGTGCACAGAACTTCTCCGTGAGCATTATTCAGTCGCCACGGCTGCAGCGGCCTTTCAATGAATGCCTGGATGTGGCGGACTTGCACGGTCGGTAAGATAAACCAGTGTTTAGCTTACGTGATTAGATACTGTGAGGACGGCCACAGGCGCGAAAAACACGAGGTAACATGGCTGCCACATCAGCGTTTGATTGTTTGCTTTGTCGCTAACTTTACGGATAGCTAGTAAAAGCTAGTCACCGACATGCGGTAAATTACGTACGGCCCACCTTTGCAGCGACGACGACGAAGAAATTCACCCGTGGTTGCTTCACGAGACCACTGGTGACGTAATTATGTGTCCCCGATGTTTTGTATTTTGATTGGCCCCGCGTCCCGAAGTGTGTCCCGCGAATCAGAGAGTCGATGATATCCGCGAGATGCACACTAAGATGGTAACGAACATCGTTCGCGAAGTAGGCGTCGGATAGCGCCGATGGTTCTCGCCACTTTGGTGATGCATCCGTTAGAGCGACAAAATTGGTTGCTTTCGTCGCGTTATCAGCACGTAGTAACAACGTGCTGCTGCCCGGTCACTTGCACAAGTACATGGTATTCCATGGAGCCCGTGTTGCACCCGTGTTGTTTGCCTCTTTTCATTGTGTTCGTGTACGTGTTTGCGCAAAGAAGTCATGAATGAGTACCAACTCGCCCAACTTTCAGTACTGTTGTTCCATGGAGCACGCAAAAGTAGAGGAAACGTCCAACGCCGCAGTATTATAAATGCAACGCACGAGAACCAAGGAAGGTCAGGGAACTACACACAACATCTATCTCAGACACAGCGGTAAGCATGAGTCGTCTGCTGTGTGAAAAATCTCGAAAGTGGCGCCTGGCCTGGCACACCACTGCGCCACGTTGCGGTTGAGTTTTAGAAAACACTTCTTAACATCAGCTTTTTATTTAGCAACTTGAAGGCAGATACTTATACTATAAAATTAAAGTGCACTTTTTTACGCCACAAATATTTTTTTAGATATTACAACACTTGCAATTAAATGAACCTTGAGCGAAATCGAAACTGATTGCGCAAGAAGAGTTTGTAGCCAAGACGCATCAGTAAAGGCGGATTTCTTGAGTGCGAACGAGCAACAGGAGTTGGAACGAGCAATCATAGCGTCGGGAGAGAAAATGCAAACTTATGGCTGTCCTGAATAGTGTCTATGCTTAGTTTAGCGTCACAAGAGTAGGTTAGGCTGTTGCACAAAGTGAACTGCTGACACAAAGCCTCCGCTCTAGCGACGATTGTTACAAGACTACTCATCTTGACCGCAGGGCACTCCGAGAATTGATCTACAAGTAAGTTGCAGCTCGCTGCAACTCGGCTTAAAAGTTTTGTATGCACTGTTTCGACAGCCTCGGCAATGCATACACCGTTCAAGCTCGTCGACTCTTCACAATTCACACACCGTCATCATTCGCCATATTTATGTCCAGGACAGAACGATCACCTTTCCCAGTGGTTCAATATTACTGGTAATAGTTAAAACCGCGTTCACCCTTTTTTGGCATCGAATGTCATCACCAGCTTGGAGTATTATAGAGCGCGCTACTCCAATCCACTCCGCCGTCCTCTCTTTGATTACGCTTATCAAATGTGGTTGAATTCCTCTGCGCCTGCCCCTATCTTAGCATAAAGCTTCAGCCTTATGCCACTAGGCATCTGTTCTTTCTTTCTTTTTCAGTGGAGAACTATACGAAAGGGGAATCGACCGAAGAAAGCGTCGACCCACCACCTTTCAAAGATCTTCGAGATGACTTTGTTCACATGAAAGTTCAGCCCAACAGCAAGCTTAGAAACCTGCTAGAGTATGCCAAAAAAGCTTTCAAGGTGAGTATTCAAGCAATATAAACGAGGGTAAGTTATTTCCGAGAGTCTATTCGCCAACGCTGTTTGTTTTACAGGACGAAGCAAAAAGGCAGATGGTGTTCACCGGCTCTGGTCACGCTCTAGCAAAAACCATCTCGTGCGTCGAAATTATGAAGCGAAAGCACAAGGCAGGTCCCTCTTTTCTTGCAAAGCTTGTCTAAAGAGTGCTGTAAGGAAATAAAGTGCGACCTTGCAGCACTCTCTAGATTCAAGATACACAAGAATGTGTGGTCTGCAGGAAAATGTGGCTCATCATAACTCCTTTCGTGTCATATTTAACCCCGATTTAGACTAAAGCTGTCCAAATTGATTTTTTTTTACATTTCTTGCCAAAATTTTTTAACTCATCTTTGCGTATGAACTGGTGTCTACATTTGTTTCCGAACGATATGCATGGCACAGTCTCCCACAAACACTGAAAGATGCCGAGACCAAGCGAACTAATCCATGGCAGAGTAGGAAAGAGCACACTGTGCTCAAGAACAAGGAAAGTAGCACACTGTGCACAACACATGATAAGCTGTTGCCTTATATGTTTCTCATATCTTTTTTTGCATGCCGTTTTACTTTATGCTTCATCTGATAATTCATTTGAGAAGGTACTAATCGAGTTTATACACATACAGGGGGTGCATCAAGTGAACAAGATCCTGTACAAGAAGTGAGTAGTGCCATGTCTTTTAAAGTGATTGTGTTCGTTCTCACACACTTTGGTGAAATGGACAAGGGTTCTTATTGCCATTAATTTTTGTCATGTAGAGTCGAAGACTGCTGGGAACCTAAGTCACCGGAATTTGACAGGTTGAAAATTGTCCGAGAAATACCGACAATGCACATACTTCTGAGCAAAGATCCAGTTGATACAACGCAGCTAGGGTAAGTAGTGCCGACTTTGGCTAAAGCTGCATTGTAGGCAGTGGGCGATGCGCGCAAGTATGGTTTTGCTGCATGTCCTGTTTATTGAATGAAGGAGATGTTTATCTGAATTTTACGCATTAAGCCAAGCTCGTATTGACTGACCTGTGCAGCTGGTGGTGTTCCTAGAGACCTCCTCACCCATGGCTACCAAAGAAGTAATGAATAAAACAAAGCAAATTTTCTTTCCTTGTCGGGTATTTGCACTTAGGTCCTCCCGGTATGAAGCGAGTGCCTCGAACATTAGGCCACACGCTAATGCTTGCCCATTGTGAACTGAACTGAAGGACATGGATGTGTTCTAGCAACAATGAAAGAAACAATTGGCCAACAGTTCACTTGCAGTGGGCGCTTCGTAGAAATATTTCACGTTGGTGGACTAAAAGCAAATTGCTGGGCAACGCCTAAGGTTGATATCAGGAATTTCACATTTCAGAAAAATCCAGACTTCCAAGAAAATTGAATGATTGCATGATGGTCCTTTCATTGGGCTGTTCTGCTGACTGATTAACATAGAAAGAGCATGAAAGACACCATGGTGATTCCAGCTGAAAACAGTGTGTTAGGGACGAAGAAAGAAAGAAATGAAAAGCAGTAAGTCAGTCATACCCATGCCATGCTTCGCTTTCCCCAATTTGGGAAAAGCTCCTGAATTTTTTGGTAGCCTTCACTTTTCACATACTACAGTGCTTCCCTACGAAAAGGATTCAGTTGATACGCAGCCATGAAGGTTGGCAGCCCATGGTTCCATTCACAAATAGTTTCTCTTTCGTGGTCAAAGGAAAGGTGACTGATCAATCAAACTATTTAAATTGACACTGATATGGAATCCAGCTGGCAGTTTTAAGTTTTTTTCTTCATTAAGCTACCAAAGTAATGCCTCATACATGTGCAGGGGGATCTCCCTATTCTGTGATATGATGTAATTTGTTAGGCACTTCCCTACATTGTGAAATGATGATTGTGATGCAGTGTGCGACAACTACACTTGCAGTAGTCGCCTCGCGGGAGTTTACATTGGGCTTGGAAAGGCTGCTCTTCCAGCTTTCACTGCAGGTGTGCTGTGCGTTTCTCACAGACCTGGCATTTTATTGGTGAAAATTAATGGTGTGTCAGAATGGAGCTAGAGGCACGAGGTGGCAAGGTTCGGGAAGTTTGGTTCAGCCACTGTCCTTCACCCCTGCAAAAAAGTAAAAGCGTCAAATTCATGATGTCATCCCAGCATTCAGGTCCCAATATTTTCGAGAGTGTCAAAAAAAAAAAAAAAGCTGCCCTGCCTGCGTGGGACACGCAGCGCAGTCACAGCAAAAGCTGAAGAGCGGCCTTTCAGAGCCTTTTTTGAACACTATTTGGGTAACAGCTACATGAACACTTGCAGGGTACCCACTATGCCCCAAATTATTTGTGTTGTAGGGAGGCATTCACTAGATCATCTTACGTCATTCTTTAGATAAGTGTGGCACCTGCTACACACTTGCAAATAATATTGCGCAATTTATTATGCTGTGGCCGACAACGTGGAAGAATTATGCCTAGTGCTATAGTGAAGGGGGTTGTACCATTCAATAACCCACTCGTTATGCGATTCAAAATGTGCGACGCGTGCCTGTTTTTTAGCAGTTCTAAAGCGCTGTATTACACACATTAATGCGGTTCCTTTCCCGACACGAAGCCTGCCCATGGTCAGTTTACAACAGCGTTCCAAGAACCGACGAGCTCAGTGATAGAATACTTGACTGGCACACAGAGGACCTGGGTTCAAATCTTATTATGTTCTTGGCAATTTTTTTATTTTGCGTGATAGTGGTTACAGACACCACAACCGAGTGCAACTACAATGCACGTAACCCTTGTTGTGATCTCGTGTAAAATGAGACTGACCTTCAGTGATAGCCAACCAACGTAAGTTCTGAAATTAATTACAAAATTGATCAGAAAAATAACTTAGTCTTAGCTGATTTATGACTTTTAAACCGTGAAATTGATTGATCATTACCAATGTCTGAATAAAATTATAGCCTCTACTAACTTATTGAACTGTTGTTTGCAGTAACAGTTCACAGGAGCCAATCTTCTGTCGTCATCCGTTGTTTCCATTTCTTCAGGTACCAGGCACCCGGATGCACCGATGGCAGCTGGTCTACAGAACAGAAGTCAATGAAGCCGAGAAAGAAACAGTTCCCAAAGAGGACACCTCGCAGACAGAAAACACAGCAGTCTGAAGAGCAGTGAATGTACAGTGGAGAACGTACTTGTAAATAAAGCCATTCTCAATGTTTTCTGCTTAAGTTGTCTCGCTAGAAGAAATGCAAATAACTCGTATTCCATTGATTATAAGCAGCCTGTTTGAAAGAGATGAGCACTGCACTGGCTTTATATATGAACTTCCGAACACCGAGTGACAAACATACTAAATAGGCAAGTTTTCCAGGCTACTATGTATTAGTCCAGAGACAGAATAAAAAGTGCAGACTAGTATACTGCGTTCTTATAGCGAAAATGTGCAGAAAAATTACTCAAAAAAACGTATGACAAATCATGCTGCTTCACTGCTTGTATTTTTGCAGACGGCACATGCGTTTACTTCTGAGCACTTATGCAATCCACCGAAGCAAAAAATCACTTCTCCATTGTTTACATTCTTTTTATTGATCTGGTACCCAGCTGGCAATGAAACGTGCACTTCTCATTCCAAATTGTCCTTGGGAACTCTGAACAACCTATTTCACAAATGACGAAATGAACAGCAAGGCTGCAGTATGCATGAATAAACCCACAACTGAAAATCTTTCCCGCGTGAAGTTGCAAACAGTGTAGTTTGCCGCGTTCACCAGGTACATGACGGCACTGCTTCAAATGTCTTCAGTTTTCTTTGTTCCAACCAATTAAAAGAACGGCCCGAAGCATGGTTCAGTCTGTTAGGGTGGACTACCTGAAGAGGCTTCTGCTACTCGCATGACAGGTTATAACAAAAAGGCGAGTATTCAGAATTTTCAAAGCAATTGAGACAAAGTGCGATTCTGTTGCAGTCATCTCTTATCTCCAGTTTAGATGCACAGCCGTAGCTGCTGTTCATCGTGTATGTACATGCAAGTATGCCACAAAAGCCCAGTAAAATGTTGTCCAGATAAAAGACTACACCCAAAGTACAATTTTTATCGTGCTACAAATGTCAGTGGCAAGTATTGACCATTCCCATAATAGTCAGTAAGCAATGAAATTAGCTATAGCATTTGGAAGTCGCAACAGGGGAAAAAATGAAGCTAACTAGTGCAACATTTTAAGGACTAGGCAAGGGTAAATTGAATGAGAAATAAACATACGCAGAAAACTGCAGCTTTTGGGTACCATCTCCTAACCTAATCGCCTCATCCAACATATGACAACCAGTGTTGTGCAAAAGATGCAAGTATATAAGCGAAATTATTTTTTTTAAACACAGATGTGTATGTAATACCACAGCTGCTCACTTGGGATAACACTAGTAGTTTGTGTCTGCAAAGAAAAACTGCCTTCTTTTTACAGTGCCATGTACCACGAGCTCACTATCAATACCGCAACTCTTCTAATGATTGTGCAAAGATATAAAACCTTCCTGCTATGAATGGAAGATCATGTTTATATGCGACTTGTATGACTTGGTTATAATGAATCCTAGAGGTGGCTTTCTCAAGGTATACAACAGTATGAAACAACCTCTGCCTCTTTAAGAACAATCTTGCATTGCTCTGCACATTAATGGCCCTTTTGTGCTATCGGACCTCTTTGCAGGCAAACGTACAGAAGCAATAAATAAAACAACTAAATACCCATATATTCAGGCAAACGAAAAAGAAAGTGCTCGCCGTTTCATCACGCAGACATTCCGACATTCAAGAGACAACTATAAAAAGTTGGGGGAAGAGTAATAAGGGGAAAGTGTATTTGCACAGACACAGCACAACTCTCCCAGATTCCTCTCGTGTCCTTGTGCAGGCTCCCAGATAGCCGCTACGCTAAATACATTGCAATTCACACCAGCAGTCTTTACTTCTAAGGATGCACGAAGAGCATAGCATGCCTACGATAGCTCGGAGTGACGATAAGCGCTGCTGCTCAATGGACGTTACCCGCCAACCAATACATCTGGAACTGGCACAGCGCCAAAGTGCGGCAAGGCATTCAATACATAATAACAGAGGTAACACACCACGGTGTTGCGCATTGATGTGTGAATTTAAAGCAACATTTTCTAGAGCGCATGTACACGACACCACCATGACCACGGTCGACAATAGTTCATGCCAGTGTGGGCAGAGTGGATGGAACACGCAGAAGTGAAACGCTGAAACAATGCTACTGGGAGAAATGCACAGCGACAGACTATGGGCGACCAGCGGCGCCGTCAACAGAAGAGGACATCTGCCGAGTGGCGACATTGCAGTGCGGATTCGGCTCCATCTTTTTGGCAAGACTTCTCAGGCTTCACTCTCTCCAGCGGTGAGTTCTTCGTCAAGGATGGGAACGATGAGATTGTCCTTGGACATCAGGCTGTACTTGGTCACGAACGTGGTGAAACGGCGGCACAGGCATGTCTGCTTCTGCAGAAAGAGCACACATGAGAGAAATCAAAATGGTAGTGTAGGAGTACGCGAGAAAGATTGTTTAAAACGATACATTCACAATCACTCTTAATAACTGTGCCCAGGGGCATTATAGGTGCGCACAAGAAATGCAACGGTGAGTGGTGCCTTTAGTGATATATCATCATCATCAGCCTGACTGCATCCACTGCAGGACAAAGGCCTCTGCCATGTTCCGCCAGTCAACTCAGTCCTGTGCTTGCTGCTGCCAATTTACACCCGCAAACTTCTTAATCTCATGTGCCCACCTAACTTTCTGTCTCCCCCTAACCTGCTTGCTTTCTCTAGGAATCCAGCTAGTTACCCAAGTATACAAGCTATTTACAAAGGTAATTGCTAACAGAATTAAGACATTATAATTCAATCAACCAAAGGAACAAGCAGGATTTCGAACAAGCTACTCAACAATCGACCACATTGATACTATCAATCAGGTAATAGAGAAATGCTCAGCATATAGCCATCCACTATACATAGCTTTCATAGATTACGAGAAGGCGTTTGATTCAGCTCTTTCGATTCATAAATCGGCGCAACCACGATGTGATCCCTTGAATTGCACCCTCGTGAGCCTAGAGTCCCGCACTATTTCGAGAACTTTCACACAGATGCACACCGCTGTTATGGGTAGCAACCTTGCACACAGCTGCCAGATGAATTCGGCGAGTAGCGCTTCCAGTTCAGGGTGCACTGCAGTCCATCCACGAAACGATGTTTTTTTTCGTTGCTGCAGGATGTAATGCCCTGCTTTTGGCTCCTCCAGTATCAAATCTTTTTTCCAGTGCACTGAATTCCCATTGCACTGCCAGGTCTGCAAGAACTTCGGCATACTCGGATAACTTTTTATCTCAAAGCCTACCGTAAACTTCTGTCAACTACCACTAATTTCTGAAAGCTATTCAAGAAAGAAAACAGCATACTGACAATAGATGACCGAGCCAAAATGGCGTTGCTAGAACACCGTAGGCCTTGCCTAGCCTTATTCAACGATACTCACGATGGCAATAAGGGCTTTTGACTTCAGCTTCCCATTGTTGCAAGACTTCCACATTCCTTTCTGCCAATGAGTGGTATATTAGACGAAGGTCGACATTTTATTACATTTTCTTTTTATTTTTTAATTATACCTACCGTATTTACTCGCATAATGATCGCACTCGCGTGATGACCGCACCCCTGAGTTTTGTCGTCTAAATACGATTTTTTCCCCCCCGCGTAATGATCGCACCCTGAACTTGCCGGTCTGAGAACTGGCCAACCTCCCTGTCCTTCCTCATTTATTCTTCCTCCTGAACTTGCCGCATCGATATGTCATGTGCCAAGTCTAGCCACTGATCATCACCTTTATTACCTGTCGAATGAAACTCGCCAATTGCACGCACCAAACATATTCCTAATTTTTGCCCACCGTTGGCGGAAACGTGCCATTTAGGATTGCAGTAAGGGCAAATGCCACAGTTTTCATTGAATGCCTGCCATGTGTTTTTATGTCTGTGGCAGCTGAACGCGCCTATCATTGTTTCTGTGATCTGAAAGCAGGCGCCAGTATGCTAATGACGTAAATTTACTGAATTAAATGAAAGCATTCCTTATTTAGATGGAAGAAACTGTTTTGACGCACCTGACGTACTCACAACCTCCATAACTGACGAAAAGAAGAAAAAAAATGCGGTCGCTCCGCTCCGTCAGCCGCCATGTTTGTTTTGACATACCGCACAGTTACCACGGCGGTCACCTGTTGGTCGACCTGTGCTCATCCCGCAGCAATGTTTTTTTTCCTGAGACCACATCTTTTTGTGTGTGTGTGCTTTGTGATCGTCTGTTGAAGCGCTGTTTCGCCATGGAGCAGTATGCGAGCTTTACTGCCGCATTCAAGCTGAAGGCGCTTGACTGCGCTCTAGAGCACGGCAACCGCGCTGCCAGCAGACATTTCGTCGTCGACGAAATCCGGATCCGATATTGGAAAAAACAGCGCGACAAGCTCAAGGCTACTAACAGCACGCGATGGCCTTTCTGCGGACCCAAATCTGGCAAGTTCCCTGACATTGAAAAGACAGTCCTCAAATACATGAAGGACATGCGCAAGGACGGTTGTGCAGTGTCATCAGACATAATACGGACGTAGGCGCGCAGAGTTTCCCGGAGGCTGGCCACAAAGGACTTCCACGCCAGTTCCGGTCGGACGACACGCTTCATGCGGCGGAATGGAATGTCGCTGAGGCGGCGGACGTCGTTGTGCCAGCGACTTCCATTCGCATACGAAGACAAGGTGATCGATTTCCACAAGTTCGTCAAGAGGATACATCAGAAGAACGGCTTCCTGCTGTCACAGATAGGCAACGCCGACCAAACGCCGTTGACGTTCGACATGCCTCGAAGCACTACTGTGAACGAGAAAGGTGCTCGAAGCGTGCTCGTGAAAACGTGTGGTGTGGAGAAGCAGCAATGCACCGTGATGCTCGTAGTGACGGCAGACGGGCGGAAGCTGCTGCCATATGTTATTCTGAAACGGAAAACAATTCCGAAGGGAAACTTTCCGCGTGGCATGCACATCCGCGCTCAAGTGAAAGGGTGGATGACGGCAGACCTCATGGTCGATTGGATCAAGACAGTTTGGGGGCGAAGAGCAGGAGCACTTCTGCTTCCTTCACTTCTTGTGCTGGACAGCTTTCGAGGCCATCTCGCTGACATTGTCCGTACCGAGCTGAAGGAGCGGCGCACGAAAATCGCAGTGATCCCTGGGGGTCTAACTTCGCTGCTACAGCCTCTGGACGTGTCACTGAACAAACCATTCAAGGACAACGTCCGAAGGAGTGACACGTCCGAAGGCTGTATGTAGAGTGGATGGCGGCGAGCGACCACGATTTTACACCAAGTGACAAAATCAGGAGACCGTCCGTGGAAGTCCTCCGCTCAAGGATTCTCGAAGCGTGGAGTACCATTTCCAACGAGGTGGTAGTCAAGAGCTTCAAAAAGACTGGCATTTCCAACGCGCTCGGCGGAACGGAAGATGACCGTCTGAGGGACAGTGAAGACACTGCCGGTTCCTACAGGGAATCGTGCGGCGACGACACTGACGCCAGTGACGCTTCGGAGTCTGAGTGAACGTTAGGGGGTCAGAGAGGTAAAAATAAAAGGGCAGTGTGCCATGCATGTAGCTCCTGCATAATGCGTGCATTTTATTACAAAGTTAAGCCTTAATTTACTTTTATTTTTGGTTATGTTCATGATAGTTATCGTAAGAACCCTGATCAGCGACTTTTTTGCGTTTTCAGTGCTCGGAATATTTTTTCACGGAAAATTTACCCGCGTAATGATTGCATCCCGAAGTTGGATTCAATTTTTTTGAAAAGAAAGTGTGATCATTATGCGAGTATATACGGTATATTACGGCTTTTACAATACTCATGTCGTCAGCCCCACTCTTTTTCAAAAAAACTGACTCCAATGGGAGTGGGAGAAAAAAAGTCAAGGGAGTTCGACTCGCAAGCATGCTTGTCTAGAGGGCGTGTTTGTTGAGTACAGTGGAACTTCGATTATACGTCCCTCCGTTTCGCGACAACCTGCATTTTTTTTCCTGGTCGATATACGGCTATGTCCTGCCTCTGTCACACTCGCAGACACTGGTTTGCGCACGCATAAAGGCACGACGTGGCTGCTTTTGCCGTGCAAAATTACTTTCACTCGACGTCAGTGTTCATAACAACAGTGGGACACCACTAGTTGCACTTCACGGGGCAACAAATTAAACGCGCACAGCTCAGTTGCGCATGAACGCATCGTACATAAACTCTTTGTCCGTCGCCATTATGCAATAGCGATGGCACTGTGTCTGACTTTTCTGCTGGGAGGCTCACGGCAACACGGTTTCGGTTTCGTTTTCACGCACAGACAATTTTCGCACTCCATTAATCGGCAGAAAGATGCGCGTTGAATTTGATTGTTTTTAACGCTGTAAATAAGAATTCGCTCGGCCCTCCTCCAAGTAATTATTGCTGCCATTAGCTACCACTGGCAACAATAATTTAATCTACCCTCATTGCAGAGGCAGAAGGTCGTGCCGTGGGCTTATTCAGGCAGTCTGTACTCGTTTTTCAGGCAAGGCTGAGTGTCACAGTCTATATTCTTGGTTTTTCGATTATATGACGGTTTTGCGTGGTCCCGTAAAAGTTGTATAATTGGGGTTCCACTGCAGGTGTGCTGTTTCAAAGAGCACGACTGCCGATGTTCAGAGCTGCAATTGTAGCGCATACATATATATAGAGAGCAGCAAAAGTTTTCCAATCGCTACTGGTCTTTAATTCAGTTGTAGAACTATGGAACCTCTAAACCTATTGTTTCCACCCGCAAAATGTGCGACGAATCTTTTTTTGTTGCTGTTATTTCCTCCCATAACGAATGCGAGACACGAATGTTTCATCCAGCCGCTCGGTTCCATTTCTGTAGCACAACTTAAGTTTAAAACCAGCCGTGTAGGTAGCATACAGACCGAACGTGCCCTACGCAGCAGGTGTCCAACTCAATTCGCGACAAAACCGACAACAAAAACACAGCGTCCGATAGCGGTGCACAAATGTGCAAGAGCATGTTGAGCCGTCGACACGGTGGCCGTGGTTGGAGTGGTTTTTTTTCGTGCCACTGCACTTGCGTGGTGCTATTAGCAAAGAGCTTTCTTCTGCATTGGAGAAATGATGCTGTGCCTCAAAAGATGCCACATTTAAATTTTGACTAACATCGTCTGCGCTCGCACTGCTCGCAACTGTTTAGCATGGTTGCAAAACTATACTTTCACTACATCGTTATTTTGTGATATATTGGCTTGATTTAACGTTGGTTCGATCGTCAACAGCACTGGCTATCACACTGGGATAATATGAACAGATACATTAAAAACAATTTTTTTTTTTTCCCTGTTTAGAAACCAAGTTGGGGGAGTAAATACGGTACACTCAGCAGTA